GGCCAACAAAAACAATACCCAAGACCATAATACAAACAATACCCCTTTCCTCAAATATACACAAACACTAAGATTATTTTTCTTCTACATACCCCGAAAACAAAAATCGGAAAAAAATGTAAATCAAATATATACATTAATCCTTTCTTTTATGCAAACACACAATATTATTACCTCTGAAGTAAACCTCATGTTAGAAGAACAGATTCTGTGGAGTCAGTTGATGATCATAATACCAAGTATTATCTTCTATAACTTCATCGGTTCATGTTACGGTTTAATTGAAGAATATGTCCTTGAAGGCTACATTGCTTTACCTGTGTTAAATAGGTTTTTATCAGTATAATGAGCTGGAAATATCGAAATGGAAATTTTCTTGCTTACGTGCATCGCTGCTACTGTCGATAATAAATCTTTGGACTGGTTTAATAATGCTTGCTCATGTGCGGCAGCTTTGGCAAGTTCAGATACCAAAGAGCTCGTCCCTTCCACCTGTAGATTGAGATGAATGAATTATGAATTGAGTAGAATTCAGTTATATTACGGATTTTTATAAAAATGAGCTAAATAAAAATTCTAATTACAGTTGCAGTGAAGCAAACAATCCTTACCGTTGATTTATTTCACTATTGTAGTCATTTTTTCATTTACTGGGATAATTTGTTTGCAATGAATTAAAACAAACTTATAAATGTCCTTTTGCAATTGCAATAAAACAAACAGATATATATAACTGTACAGACTGTACTTATAAAATGTCCTTTTGCAAACTGTGGCTAAAATTGTAGTCGCAAATTTTGCATAGTGGATAGCCCTTTAGACTCCTGTACCAATGCCCTCTGCTCCACTAAAAGCAGTCTAATTAATACTCGTATATCAACTACTTAGTTCACAGGTGCTTACATAATTGATGAATGTGAACTTCCTAAAATATGAAGGGAAAAAATTTCTAAAGATGAAGTTAAGCAATTTTTATAGACATTTCTAATTATCTCAAAGATCAAATGGTCAGACTGGCAGTGAAAACTGCAATAGAGGATGCAATCATGAGGCCCTTGAGTACACAAAGAGTGTTTGAGAACTTAACTGCAATGAAGGAAGCGGTTCTGGTGCTCAAGAAGATTTCTGAGAGAGGCAACAGAGCTGCGCAAGAGCAATCTCTAGGTATTCACTTATAATTTTCAAGAATACTTTTGCCATATAACGACTTAAATATGAAACTAATTCCTATTTGTATTAGACTTGAGACTTTGGAAAATTGACCCAATCTTTTATGCCTATTTGGAGTTGGATTCAATTCCCATTCAGAGAAAAAAAAAGAAGAAGTAAAAACAGAAAATACTAGCATCCGAGCCTATTATTCTTACCAAGCTCTCTTTTCATTTCCTACGAACTTTATTTTGTAGAAAGAAATGATATACACCGACTTCACTATACACACAATCATGTTATCTTACAACAAACAAATTAAATACTAAAGAAGAAAATTACATAAAAAAAGAAATTAAAAAGAGGAGATACCTTTGGTAGTAAAGAGCATATTGAGTTACCCATTGCCTGTATCACATCAACAGCTGAATTGACAGCATTCTGGAGCTCCTGGAAATCTACCTGTAGAAAAGGAATCAGTTATGGTTGGATGCGCCAAGAAACAATGAGATATAATTTACTTATTTAATAGAAATATGAAAGCACGAACCCTTGCTCCGCTAACAACTGGAAGACGGAATGTGCTAGCCTTCAGTGCTTCAATAAGACCTGATAAATAATTACAGTGCTCCTTGTCCATTAGAGACCATTCTTCCAAATAGATCATCTGTACGTCAAATGTGGCTAGTTCAGATGTAAGAAGTAAGCAATTTCAAATATCTGGAAATGAATCGATGTGTCTAAATGTACATACAACTTCATATGTATAAAAAATGATACAAGACAGAAATTTCACTTGCAAAAGACTAGTATATTCTCATCTAATAAGGGAAGCAAATATGTCTCTTTGCGAAGAAAATGAAAATGAAAAGGGAAAAAAAAATATATCCGGAAACTCCTTCAATGGGAAATAGGTACTCTTTGTTGAGAGAATCCAAACCCATGATGGGTTAATCAAAGCTGAAGATCGCAATTTAGATATATTTGAATAAGAAAATAAGATGATGAACAAAATTCCTTACTTGTTCCTTAAGAATGGAATCAAGCTTTAACTTTTGTAGCAGAAGTTGCAACTTGGTCTGTTTAGTTGTGACTGAATCACGCAATTGTGAAGTAGTTAACCATGCATCAAACAAATTTTTCTGTAATAACAAAAGAAAGTCATCAGTAGAGTCTTTGAAGAACTGAAAGTTAAATTTAGAATGATTTCTTCAATAATAATCATAGTATAATGGTATGAAAATATGGCAAAAAATTAGAAGCTATAATGTAGAATACATAATAGCATTGTACATACACGTGCTTACACCACTTGAATGCACTGCGCATGTAAAGTTGTCTAACAACAACATTGTTGTGTATAAAACTACATTAGCAGAAAATGTGAAGGTTTAAGAACTAACATTTTAGGAGTCAAAAGTGATAATGGAGACTTGAATCCAATGCATGTTACCTCAGGCAAATAAGATGCTATTAACCTATGCATAGGACATATTCTATCAACATTAGGATTGTCATTTAAGTCAAAAAGTGCAGATGCTAGAGAGGAAATATTCTTGGGTTACATGTTCTCATCAAACAGCATTTAATCACAAACTTTAGTTCTGAAAGCCATGTCCATCATCATGGAAGTGCAAAATTTCTAGCAGGAGAGCCTCCTAATAAAATAGAGACAAGGATGTAAAAATTGCAATAGAGAAAATCACATGGAGATTTAACATGGTGTTACAACGAGCTACATCCACAGGTGAACCAGAAAAGAACATCACTATAATCAATTTCATAAGGTTGTTACAAATAAATCATTCCATCTCAAAAAAATCCTTAATAAATATTTCAATCCAACAAAATCCTTACTGAAGAGAGAATCTGAATAAAGCTCTGTAGTAGCTTGCAAAGCTCTGTATAGCTTGCAAAGCTCTGTAAAGACTCAAAAGGTCTTTAAAGCTTTGAAAAGTACCTTTACAGGTCCAACTTAAAGAGCACGAGACTCAAAAACCACCACGCACTGTGTTGTTTGCAAATTGCCCCTCCAGCTGAAGTAACAAATCTTCTTCCAAATTGGGTCCCTTCTCTACCACATTGACATGATTTAAATCAAGTTTTTTCTACTCAAAGCCATTTATTCATTTAAATCACTAAATAATTCAAAATCAAGTTCTGACTCAAATAAAATCCCACCACCTCCACCTATCCCCCTCTTCACCACCAACATAAGTACCATCCTTATCCAAATATTCAGTTACACAGCATCCCTCTCTTCACCACCAACAGAAGTATCATCCTTATCCAAATATTCGGTTACACAGCAGACTCTAATCCAACCTGTAACCCTTCTCTTTCCATCCTCACCATGTGCTTTTCCTCTTCTTTGATTGAGTTCAAAGACTCCAAACATATTTAAGGAGCTAATCGTGAAGCCATCTTTCCAATGTGGGACTAAATCTACCTCATGCCTTTGCGTCCGCGCATTTGAACTGAATGGATGAGTGCCTCCTAACTACACATACGCCTAAACACACATTGAGAAGAAGTGTTTTCTCTAATTGAATCCTTGGACTATTTCACCAGATGTTCTTTGAGCATTAAACCAATTTCTAGATCTGATTAGTTAAATATGTCACCTTATTCACAAAGTTATTATTTTCATGCCTGTCTTTTTAAAAAATTTGAGACAGGTGCTAACAGTTTGGGTTTGGATGCTCCCTCTAGGATCTGACACAGAGATTTCTCACTCTCTTTTATATACCCTTAACCATTTTATTGCATCGAGTACTTATTTGTTTACTCCAAATGCCAGCGCTCAAGTGAGAGTATTATAATCCCCAAGTTTAATGTAACAGTCCCAAATGCCAATGAAATTAAGAATCAGTAATAGCTAGTAATTTTGAAGAGGAACTGTGGAAAAGAACTCAATCATAGCTATCTGTGCAATCCCAACCACTTCTGATGAGCGAACATAAACCCGAGCTAGAATCACCAGGTCCGGGTCAGCCCTATGTGCAGTTCAAAAACAGAAAGACCTGGGTGACCTGCCAATAACCCGCTCGAGTTGTTAAGGTGATTTCCCAGTTAGTGTAGTGTAGTCTTTTTCCATTGCAGTTGTCTGGTTCAAGTATCGCAACTTCACCATTTTTTCCCCATATAGATCAAAACCCTCGAGCAAATGAATGACAATAAATTTATTGTATTCCTTATATACCCCATTTATGTGTTTCACATCATGGTAATTTTTGTGTTAACTGAAGGACGTGTAGCAGCACAGACACTAAAATTGGAATGTCACATTACAAGCTCACATCCCCGAAAAGATTTGAAACTCAATATGATTACTGGTTTCAGACTTGAAAACTGACTGTGAAGATCTGATCAATTGAAATTCACAGGACTCAATAGACTGAAATGATAAGGAAATGATAAATTGTTATACTTGTCGTGGCCAAGATGGACTATCTTAATGCAAAAAGTAAGACTTTTATGCGCTAAGATAATTATATTAAGGCCCTAACATACGAAACATGCTTACAAGTTGTGCATTTCCATGTCAAAAATGTGATACAATAAAATGCAAAATGAACTGTGTTATATGACGCTATAAGTCAATGAAAGGTACCATATGAAACTTATCACTATATTCACTCTCTGCATCAAAAAGTACAGTACGTGTAAATCAATCTGAACAGAACGGGTCCTCAATTTTTGTCATATATCATCCAATTTGGTAGATAGGTATAATTAACTATGCTCTGTTGGTATTAAAACCTCCTCCATAGTAAAATGTGACACCAACTAACCTAATAAACTACAATTCAGTAGAAACATACCTCTGTATTCACTCTCTGTACCAAAATAGCAGCATCAGCTTGTGCATTCACACATCTCCATTGCAAGTATCTATTATACAACATCCTCAACGAATGAGCTTCTTCAATCCTACTCTCCCCTTTCTTCACTCTCCTAGCTTCTGCAACCCCAAAGCTCAAAATCGAATATTGCACATTTCCCTGTTGCCCCTGCAAACTAGCACTATCCAATCTCTTCATCGAAGAAGAAGAACCTCTAGAGTTCATGGCCGGACTAAAATTCTCCGGCCAAAACCTCGCCGGAACGCTAATTCCCCTCGTCGGAGCTCGACTCTTGACTGAATTGCTACTATTGGAATCAGGAGCTAAGTAAAGATCCTTGTCCTCAAACACCAACAAGATGGAGCCTTTCTTCTCAATAGAGCAGTCCAGGCTCCTCGTAAGCGAATTCGGGTTGCGGGTTTTGGATGCGAGAGAGTTTGAAGGGTTCTTTGGCTTTTTGGGTGGGTTTTGGGATATGGGTTTAGGCTTGGTAGTCTGAAAAGAGAAGGAATGACCTTGGAAAGAGACAGAGAGGCTTCTAGTGGTGGTTGTTGAGGTCACTGAGGAATTTGAGGACATGGGTCTTGGGCTTTGAGCTGAAGAGGAGGAGGAAGGAGAGGAGGAAGGAGAAGGAGGAGGAGAAGGAGAGTGGAGATAGCGAGAGGGGATGTTTCTGTTGATGGGTTTTCTTGGGATTTCGTCGGCATTGTTGTTCTTGTTGTTGTTATTGTTGTTGGTTGTGGATGTTTTATGTGAAGGGGAAAGAGGAGGGCGATGAGGGGTTGAAGAAGAAGAAGAAGAAGAAGAAGGGGTTTTGGAGATTCGAGGGGTTGTAGAGATTGCAGCAACCATGATGATGATGATGATCGGAGATCAGAGATGAGAGAGAGATTTTATAAGTGTGAGGCTTTGCTGCATTCTGAAGCGAAAGAGCGAGAGAGAGAGAGAGAGACGGTCGGATACTGAGAAAATGAGGGGCGTGCGTGAGTGTTAACGGGAAAATTAAGTGCGAAGATGTCGCTTTCTTTATTACCGTTTATTAAACAAGGATTACGAGTTTTATGGGGTTTTTAATAAAAAAATATTTTGTTTCTTTTTAGGGAAAAATGTGTCTTAACCCACCAAAAAAAGAACTTGATGTGGCCCAGCCCCATCAAGTTTTTTCCATGATCTTTAGCCCCAAAAAACTTAGAAAAATGTGGCACTGCCCTAAAAGTTCACTTTTATACATGTATAACTTGTATTTGTACAGATCTTTCGAAAATACTCTTTTCTCACTCAAACTGTCATGCTCTCTCTCTCTCTCTCTCTCTCTCTCTCTCTCTCTCTCTCTCTCTCTCGCTCAAACACTCAAAACCTAACCCAAATCCGATCCCTCACTGACACCGGCACGATGACATGCCTCCTTCACGAATGCATCACCTACCAGAACTCTCTCGACGTCCGCCTCGACTCCCTCCTCTCCTCCTGCCCCAATCTCGACCGCAGCCTCCTCGCCCTCCGCCGCTCCTCCTCCCCTCTCATCTCCCTCACCTTTTCTGATTCGTCCCTCCTCTCTCCCCTCTCCTCCACCGCCTCCCTCGCGCCATCAAGTCTCATCTCGCGTTCGCCAGCTTGACCTCGCCCAGTCTCGAGTGCATCTCGCCTACTCCTACATCGACGTGGCACTTCACCGTTCGCAGTCCCTCAACTCCGCTCAACGATCACTCGACATCGAGGACTACGACTCTGTCACCGCATCAAAAATTTGTTGTCCGTTGGGGTTCCCGACGGGCCGAATCCAAGAGAGGTGAAGACTAACTTGGAGGAGATCTTATCATTGATGCATTTCATGGACGATTATATTGAGTTCATGATGTCGAAGATCAGGGGATTGGGTTCGTTGATCCTGAATTTGGTTTAGAGGTTGTGAAGAGATAAAGTACTTGGAGTTTTAATGGAGTGGTGCAGGAGCTAATTGGGTATATTTGGTCCTTGAGGAGTTATTTATGGTGGAGAATGTGAGGAAGGCAATATCAATTGATGAGTAGCAACTAGAAAATCTGATAACATCAATGGTGGTTGGTATGATTGTATGGGTCTGATATTTCATACGTATACATCAATGTCATCACATTTCAGGTAAATATAATACACTGGAGAAAGTATGAAATATTTTAACTACTTTCACCGATGAATCTGGTGTCATACGTGCCAGACTTGCAGCTGAGCTTTTAATAGAAGGATGAGGATAGAAGAATCGAGCAGAGCCATTAAATAAGGATGGAGAGAAATTTATTTCAAAAATTGATTGATTGTAAAAACTTGTGTGCATGTTTATATTGTGTTACTAATTTTAGTTGTATTAACAGTAGATGTGGATGACAAACAATGCAACATGCTTGACTTTTATTATTCTTATTGTATTTACAGTATTTTTATCATCAATTTGATACGTTCATTGTTGATACCACAAATACTTAACAGGTTCAGCTAGAAAGTTAACATGTTTAGCTGAAAGTTAACAAGCATCGCTAAAAGTTAACATATTCAGTCTAAAGTTAACAAGAAACACAAAACGTTAACATGATCAATGAAAAATTAGCAGGCAACGCCAAAAGTAAACACGTTTAGCTGAAAGTTAACAAGTGACTTAAATAGTTAACAGTAATGTAAATAGCTTACATATAAATTCATTATACTTCAATACGATTAGTCTTACAATTTTATAGCTGATATTGCTTGAATACATAATTTGAATAGTATTCTACGGTGAAAAATACTTTAGCTATGAATAATAATACTATTCAAATTTTGTATTCAAGCAATTTCAGCTGTAAGAATGTAAAACTAATCGTTTTGAAGTGCAATGATTTTATATGTAAGCTATTTATGTTTATTGTTAACTAATTTAAGTCTGTTGTTAACTTTTGGAGTTTCTTGTTAACTTTTGGCTTAACATGTTAACTTTTGGCGTTGCTTGTTAACTTTCAGATGATAGAATTTTTTCTCAACAATTGTTCCTGACAATGGTGAGAATGTAGTGAGATCAGAAATATTCTCAACAACACTTTCATTATTCCTCAATGGTGGTACACATTATTAACTGGAAGGGGTCACCAATTTAAAGTGTAAAAGAATTAAGACTACCTTTACAATACTATTCTATGGCGAAAAAATACTTCAGCTAGGAATAATAATACTATTCAAATTGTGTATTCAAGCAATATCAACTGTAAGAATGAAAGACTAATCGTATTGAAGTACAATGATTTTATATGTAAGCTATTTATATTTACTGTTAACTATTTAAGTCTCTTGTTAACTTTTAGCTAAACGTGTTAATTTTCGGCATTCTCTGTTAATTTTCGGCTGAACATGTTAACTTTTGGCGATGCTTGTTAACTTTTGGCAATGCTTGTTAACTTTTCCAACTGAACATGTTAAGTATTTATGGTATCAACAATGAACGTATAAAATTGATGGTAAAAATACTGTAAATACAATAAGAATAATAAAAGTTAATCTTCTTGCATTGTTTGTCATCCACATCTACTATTAATACAACTAAAACCGGTAACACAATATAAACATGCACACAAGTTTTTATAATCAATTAATTTTTGAAACAAATTTCTCTCCATCCTTATTTAATGGCTTTGCTTGATTCTTCTATCCTCATCCTTCTATTAGAAACTTAGCTGTAAGTCTAGCACGTATGACACCAGATTCATTCATACTTTCTCCAGATTCATTCATACTTTCTCCAGTGTATTATATTTACCTAAAATGTGATGCCATTGATGTATACGTATGAGATATCAGACCTATACAACCACACCAACCACCATTAATGTTGTCAGACTATCTAGTTGTTGCTCATCGATTGTTATTGTCTTCATCATATTCTCCACCATAAAGAACTCCTCAAGGACCAAATATACCCAATTAGCTCATGCACCATTCCATTAAAACTCCCAGTACTTAATCTCTTCACAGCCTCTGAACCAAATTCAGGATCAATGAACCCTAATCCCCTGATCTTCGACATCATGAACTTAGTATAATCATCCCCCAAATGCATCAATGACAAGATCTCCTCCAAGTTAGCCTCGACCTCTCTTGGATCCAGCCCTTAGGGAACCCCAACGGACAACAAATTCTTGATGTGGTGACAGGGTTGTAGTCTTCGACGTTGAGCGATCTCGAGTGGTGTCGAGGGATTGCGAATGACGAAGTGCGGCGTCGATGCGGGAGAGGACGAGATACACTCGAGACTAGGCGAGGTCGAGCTGGCGAACACAAGAGGAGACTTGATCGGCGAGGGAGGTGGTGGAGGAGAGGGAGGAAAGGAGGAGGGATGAATCAGAGCGGGAGAGGGAGAGGAGAGGGGAAGAGGAGCAACGGAGTGCGATGAGGCCGCGGTCGAGATCAGGGCGAGAGGAGAGGAGGGAGTCAAGGTGGACTTCAAGAGAGTGCTGGTACGCGATGCATTCATGAAGGAGGCGGGTCATCGTGCCGACGTCGGTGCGGGATCAGATCAGGGTTAGGTCTCTGGGGTTTGAGCAAGAGAAGAGAGAAGAAAGAAGTGAGAGAAAGAACGGATTAAGGGGTACAATTGGGTTTTTACAAAACATTTCTCTCTGTGCTGACTTGGAAGAGTACATAGGGGCTAAAACACAATTATTTACTGTATTGGGGGTTGTCTCACATGAAAAATAATACAGAGGGGCTGACCACATGAGCTTTCTTTTTTTGAGGCCTTGACACATTTTTTCCTTCTTTTTATTGACATTTGTTAATTAATTATATCAAAGAAAATACTTCTCTTGTTGGAGGACTCTTCAATTCCAATTAAAGGACGCAGTAGAAACTCTCATGCTTTTAGCATATTAACTTCTGTGCAATCATTTTAATGTCTAAACTACGCAATAAAATATGTATGTTGAAATTTGTATGTCTTTAAAAAATTCACCTAAACTATTTAACAACATAGATATCATATTAAACATAGAAATTACAGGAAAAAAAAATCGTCTGACTTTCTATATTGAAGTTTTTTTTTCTAAGTGATGGTATAACATCAGCAAGTAAAGAAACAGTTGGGGGGAAAAGCTTTATATGTTGAAATTTGGATGTCTTTAAAAAATTCATCTAAACTATTTAACAACATAGATATCATGTTAAATATAGAAATTTCAGGAAAAAAATTCATCTGACTTTCTATATTGAAGTTTTTTTTGTAAGTGATGGTATAACATCAGCAAGTAAAGAAAGAGTTGGGGAGAAAAAGCTTTAAATTTTGAAGTGGAAAATTGTCTTCTTGAAGAAGTAGCAAAGTACTTATCTAGAATAATGGATTTATTAATTACAATTCAGACAAGAGTTGTGCTGGTGTTTTGCGTATAATTAACTATAATATAAAATGAGCCTTAGCAAAGTGATGCATTATATGCCTTTAAAGGTTTAAAGTCACAGATGAGAATTTAGATGTTTTGTGGCTTAGCATGACTTGTTTGATTGTTAATCAATCTTTTTAATCACAATCTCAATCTAGATGTGTGTCAAGCATCACTCTATCCAAGAGTATAAGCTATGAGAGTGCGAGATAACAATATATCCCAAGATAATACTATGACATCATGAACCCAATTTGTTAACAAATTAAAGCTTCATTGGATATCATCGCGTTTTCCTTGTTTTCATGGTGTTTTTGTTAAAAAAAAACAGAAACCATGCATCTGAAAACTATGGTGCCTTTTGAGCTAAATATTCTCAAACAAAAAACACAACACTTATTTCAAAACACATTTTAGATGTTGAGTTTAGTGTTTCGGTTTTGCGTTTGAGAGGATGTTAATATAATATCTAACATAATGTATTAAATATAATTAATATACTTATTATCAACATGCTTATTATATCACATAATATTATATTATATTACTGTTAATGTAATATAGTAGTAATATTTAGTACATAATTTAAAATAT